TGGAAAGTGTTCAGAGACTAAGGAATAAGAAGATGACTAAAGAAAACAAAGATGGAGGGGCTCGAGAGTTTCCTCAGCTGAAGTTCTAACTTGAAAGGGACTTCAAGTTTCTAAAGAGGGGACCCATGATACGGGTGTATCTTCTCTTCAGAAAAGTGATCCTCATGGGAGCTTGAGGATAGGTGATTCTCATGATATCTTGAGAATAGTGGTGTGAAGCGACACGGTGGAGCACAGGATGGAGAGCTTGAGCATAGGTGATTCTCATGATATCTTGAGAATAGTGGTGTGAAGCGACACCGACGAATTCTCTTTTGCTAGTACCCCCTTGTTCTGGATGCTTATAGCCTCCCTTATTCTCCTGCTTTTCACCTTGTGGGCAATTGGGTTTGAAATGCCCGAACTTTCCACAATTGTAGCAGGCTCCACGGGGTACTTTCTTTCTCTTGAACTGCTGCGATTTCGGTCCTCGTGGTTGTGGTTTACTAGGACCAGGGTTTTTATAGTTTCCAGCATTATGCCTCTGGCGGACATAATTCAGCTCTTGCTGCACCATATTCAGTTCTGGTTCCTTCCTCCTGGCTATTAAGTCCTGTTCTATCGCTAGGTGCATAGGAAGATCAGTGACAGACTTAATGGCAGGATTCATTCTTAATGTGGTGGCAGCCACAGCAAGTGAAGGGGGAAGACTATTCAAAATGGTTGCCACTTGTATTCTTTCCGGGATTTCGGTCCCAGCAGTGGATAAGTCCTTAGCCATGACAATCATTTTATTTATATGCTCTACGACATTGTCTCCCTCTTGCATACGACAAGAATTATACTTATGCAAGAGTAGTTGGATGTTAACTTCAGAAGCAGTGTCGTATTTTTCTTTTATTGCATTCCACATGTCTATGGAAGTCTTATAAGTTTCAAAAACTTTGATTAAGTTATCTTCCATGAACATGAGCATAAGACTTTTCGCCTTTTTATCTTTCGACTTCCACTGTTCAAACCCTTTCTTTTCTTCAGGTGTAGATTTATCAGTAAGGGTTGGAGCAGTGGTTTCGATTATATCATCAATGTTGTCATAAATAAGAGCATATCCTATTTTTCTATGTTACATATCATAATTACTACCATTAAATTTGTCAATTTTCCCTAGTTCTGATAGAACGAGTTTACTAGCCATTCGGTAGAGAACTAAAACTAAATTCAATTTTAAATATTTGTATAAGGTTGATATTTTGACAATAATACTAAATAATAATAAAGTTAAAAAAATAAATAAATAAATAAAAATGAACCTGATTGTTCCGAGTTGATGATAGATACTCCAATTTGAGCGAGATTGTCACTTAGTGATGTTGACCGAAGAATCTGTTGTCGAAGTTTCGACGTCGTTTCTGACTAGATCCGGAGATTTTTTTTTTTGGCTCTGCTGGTTGCAAAGGACGTGGGATAGTGGGTGGTTGGGTCTTGTAATAAGGTTTGTTAAGTGAACATGGGCCTCACTTTGATTCAACAAATAAGATTGGACAGATATTGATGTGGGCTCGTGAAAATTCTAGAAGCAGAGGGCACCGAGTCCTTCAAAGAGCAACGAAAAGAAAACTAGGTCCTCGTCGTCGCCGCAAAATATCAACCTAGAAAATGGATTGAGGTCGTCGTCGATGCCTGGTGGATCGAGGTCGTCGACGGTGCGGGATGGATCGAGGTCGTCGATCGAAGCAGTAGAGTCGTCGTCATCGATCGAGGCAGCCGTTGTCGATTGAAACTGGCTCTGATACCAGTCTTTGAACACAGAGAAGAAGAGAAAAAGAATGGATTTCGTTGAGGGGAGGGCTCCGGTAATGGGTAAGGGGCTTGATTCTTCTATTTCGTTGTATTTCTGCAAGTAGATTACACTCCCTTTTATAGGCCATAAATCCTATCATCTCCACCCCCCTCAATCCGCCTCTGAGAGAAAATCTCTCAACAAACCTCAATTTTCTCGTTCTCCACGATTCTCTCTACTGAGAAACCGTGGTTGATTTGGTCATCCATGACCGAGTCAAGCTAACAGGCAAAGCTGAGTAGAGCCAAAGGACAGTTGCGTACATAGCAACCCATGTCATCTTAATATAAAAAGTGAATGTTCTTTACTTTGAATTGTTGTGAATATCATCTCAAAATTCTACAATTATTCGAGGAATAGTTTAGAAGTCATTTTAATGCCTAGTGTCTATGTGAAATTCTTTTTTCACCCATTTAATTGGATGCAGACAATTCATGTCTGTCCCCAATTTCTAATTATTAGGCATTGTAATACTTGTGCTATTCATCTGTACTGCAAAGGGGTGCCTCAGACCTGGGGGTTTGCTTGCTTAGTACTAAGCTCCTCGTAGACCACCACAAAAATAAATAAATAAATAAAGCAAATAATATGTTGGGATATTTGTAAGATATGGCTACCTGTTATACCAACCTTATTGAGAATTAAGAATTAAGGATGAACTTATCTGAAAGATTGAACTTGTATCTTCTAGCATTGATTTAGTCATGTTCAATATATATATTTTTTGTTAAGGGTTTAATGTTTCTGAGCTGGAGATTTATCTTGTTAAATAAACTATCAAGATATAAAAGTTTATGTCATTGATAGCGCACTCGTTGGATGTGACTATGTGAGTGGGCTTATAATTTTTCTATCTCCTGATAGCTTAATGAACTCCACCTCTAACCCATTTTTCCATTAAATAATATTCAATGAAGGCATGGGTCATGCACACATAATTATTGTGCTTAACATCCAAATAAAATTCATCTCGGTATTTGTATAAATCAGAAGTCAACCTACTCCTCTATACTTAAGGGAGGATTCAAATATTTCATGTTCATGGTACATTAAATTACTATAGCATGAACAATAAATCTTTGTGTACGAAGTACAAAGGAGTAAAATTATTGTTCATGCTACAGTTATTTACTTTACATATATATATATATATATATATATATATATATATATACCTTCCCTTGAGATTAGGCTTGGTCTTAATCTCGAGAAGAGCCCTGATTTCGCTTGGTCGATCTCAGCGCTTCAAATCAAATACTTCCTCGGCGAAGGCGAAGCTCTGCCGAATTTTCCATCAATCGGATCCAGATCTAAGGCGGTCCATGGATAAACCCCGGCACAGGCAAAGGTCCCACGCAAGCAGAAGATCGATAAACGATCTCCCTGCGTTTGTTTTGATAAAGTTGTAAACTTGTTTTATTTTCATTGTGCAAGGAGATCTTATAAAAAGATCAACTTTTTATTTTCTTCGAGTTTATTGTAATGACTAAAGTTGTAATAGATTCGATAGCAATGAAAATAGCAATTTTCGACGCAAACAAGAGGTTCAAATACAAACCTCACTATCCTAAAAACTAAAAACCAATCCTCTCCATTGGATCTAGATTCATCCAATGGCTGAGATTAAAGCTGCATAAGGGTAATTAGGTAAAATAAGCAGCCCACTAAAGAGAGGTCATTAATGCTTCTCTATTGAGTTCTCCATTTCCTTCAACCTCTCTCTCTCTCTCCAAAATCACAGCAACTCTCTCTTCTTCAACCTTCGTCTTCATGGTTTATGAAATTATTTTGATGCTTCGTCTTCACGGTCTTCTTCAACCTTCGTCTTCATGATTCAGTAGGCTGTTAAATTATTTTGACGCTTTAATGGTAAGTTTATAAAATTTGTTTGACTTTTCGTCTAAAAGTTTTAGTTTTAACCTTAAAGATCGTAGCTTTTTATTGTAAAAAGTGAAATATTTTACCTTTTAGTCTGAAAAGTTTTTTGTTTTTTGAAGAAACCAGTTGAAAAACGAAGACACGCATAAGTGAATCTAGATTCACTGCAGTGAATCCAGATTCAGTATGTGAGGTGTTTGTTTTTTACCATAAAAATCGTAATTTTTTGCTGTAAAAGATGAAATCTTTTCATGGTTTAAAATTTTATAGCTTGTTTTTTACCATAAGTTTCTTATTCTTTTTGTTTAAAATTTTATAGCTTGTTTTTTACCATAAGTTTCTTATTCTTTAATATAATCCAGATTCAATGGAGTGAATCCAGATTCACTGGAGTGAATTCAGATTCACTAGAGTGAATCCTGATTCACTCCAGCGAAAGCTTGGATGGTTAGGATGGTTTTTAATGAATTGTTGAAGAAATAAATGCATGTGCTGTAATTTCGAAGAAATAAACGCATGAGTGAATCTAGATTCACTGCAGTGAATCCAGATTCAGTTATGTGAGGTGTTTGTTTTTTACCATAAAAATCGTAACTTTTTGCTGTAAAATGTGAAATCTTATCATGGTTTAAAATTTTATAGCTTGTATTTTACCATAAGTTTCTTATTCTTTTTGTTTTTTATTTTTGCAGATTTGCTATTGTTTGATAACGAGTTTCAGTCCACTGAATCTGGATTCAATTCAGTGAATCTGGATTCAATTCAGTGAATCTGGATTCACTCCAATGAATCGAGCTTTAATATAATCCAGATTCAATGGAGTGAATCCAGATTCAATGGAGTGAATCCAGATTCACTAGAGTGAATCCAGATTCACTGGAGTGAATCCGGATTCACTCCAGCGAAAGCTTGGATGGTTAGGATGATTTTTAATGAATTGTTGATGTGTTCTTCATGCGAAGATGGAAGATCAAAGCTTGATAGAAGATGGAAGTGAGTTACAGAGAGCAGGAAGTGAGTTAGAGAGAGAAATGGGGAAATGGGGAACTCAACAGAGAAGCATTAATGTTGCCAGCCACCATTAATGTAGTTAATTGTTCTACGTGTTGTATTTTTGGTTTCCAATGTTGCCAGCCACCATTAATGTAGTGAATTGTTCTAATTTACCCTTTTCACATTAATGATGTGTATTAAATTTGTCTATATTTATAATTCTGCCATTGAAATGTAGGCCATTGGATTAGATAGATTGGAGGGTTAGGATTGGTTTTTAGTTCTCTAGGTTTTTATTAGAACCTCTCCCCGGCCTAGGAAATGCAAATTGTGTGGAAAGCGAGGACAAAATCATGATAGCAGAAATTGCCCTCTAAAGTTGTCAAGGTAGTGTATCGTTTGTTTTAGTAATACTAATGCTATTATTTTTTAAAACTTTTTAAAGTTGGTGCAATGATCTTTAATATGTTTTGCTATCATCAATTTTTTTAGTGATTCAATGGAACAAGATAATATTAATGAAGTCAGTGATGATTTAGAAGATTCCTTCGAGGAAGGTAATGGTTAATACATACGAAATAACTTGTACATTGCCATTTTTTTTATATAATGTGATGAAACACTAACACTTTGTTTTTTGAATTTTTTTAATACAGATGAAATTGTCACTATTGCGTGAAGTTTGATCAAGGTTGACAGAGCAAATCATAGCACTATTGATAAGAAGAGGTTGAAGTTGTTATGTATTTGTGTTAATTATCCAGAATGTTGTAACATCATATGTTGGTTGTCTCAGTTTGGTAACTTAGGACGTGGGCAATATGAGTGATTTGTGCTTGGCGTGTCGGTTGTCTCAGTTTGGAAATCATAGCATAGTAGATGTAATCTTATTTGCAATGTTTATACTGCTGAGAAAATCAAACTGCTATGAGTTTCTAAGAAGAGTGACTGCTGTTCTCTTGTTTATGCAATATATGGATTGGTAAATTGGTGATTTGCACCTTTTCTAATTTGATTTTTGCACTTTCGTGAGCTCAATAGTAGCATATATGAGCATTCTCTTACTGTTACTATAACACTTTAAGAATCTGTCGCTGCTGGTTAAAAAGTTCACTGCTACAAATGGTCTGCTAGCAAGTCTTGTTGCTTTTGTCTCAAACCTGCTCACACACTCTCTTTGTGCTTGACGTATGACTTCAAAGTTCACAAACAAGATATTACAATTATGTAATTACTGTAACAACGGTTGCTGCAACAGCACAATACTTGTATCTTGTGATTAACATAGATAGTTTGATCCAAGTAAAGTTAAACCAGTGGAGATTGTATGCTTTGAATTTATGAGGATGCACTTGATAGCACGTTTTTAATTCATCTCCTTGGTGCATCTTTCCACAATATGAGATTTTCACAATACGAACCAGCGCTGAACACCTGCAGCATTATGAGATTTTCACAATAGCTCAGAGGGTAAGTATCTCAAAATGAGAAAGCATACAATGGTTCGTTTACAATGCACTAATGATGCACCTAAGGGAGGTCCCGATAATTGTCATCTTTACATAAGATTCAAGTAACACAATATGTTGCTCACTCATTTGACGTACTATTACTTGGTCATAGGATTCAAGTAAGCAAATTACATAATTGTCATCTTTACATGCTTCACTAATATGTTGCTCACTCATTTGAATATAACACAAAGCAACAATAACAGTACAACGATAGCAATAAATTTTAAATATAAAATTACATCATTCAGCCTTTTATTCATAAACTCTTCATTTTTTACTAGCCTTTCTAGCCTTTTTGTGATGTTCTTGGTATCACCCACCCATTCGAAGAAGTTACAACCCTTGCAATTAGGTCCCTTGTATCTCGGGCATCCATAAAATTCCAAGCCCTTATTGTGTCCTTGCTTGCACATCCATATTCTGCAAGTTAAGCCACAATAACATCTTCTTTGAACTAAACCCTCATATTCTTCTCCTTCTCCACTAAACTCTTCCAAAAAGTTCTTCATCTTTTATCTGTAAAATACATGCCACAAACAAGATAAAATTCATAAAAAGTATACTATCAGCTCATTGTGGAATTTTTTTCTTCTGCAATGAACTTGTATCACAGTTAAAAAAGTATACTATCACTGTAAAAGGATTGTGTACGTACCCGATATCATCTACTCACAACGGCCTCTTCAAGATGTATTATACTAGCCTCTCATGTAATTCTAATAACCTCATGTGCGTAGATTATATATACTGAAATGACTATTTACTAGCATGAGAAGAAACAAATAAACATGATTATATTTGTCTTACTGCTAATGAGAAGAAGTACACAGGAATCATATAAACTCATGTGCGTAGATTACATATACTGAAGCTAGTCAAACAAGATGGATGATCGAACAAAAGGATGCCAAAAGGATACATTTTCCTTTATAGTAAGCTACAATTGCCAAAAACAGGATCAACTACAATTTGTTTGTGGGAAATTTTGTAATAAAAAGAATATAAGGAAAGAATTGCGTTTGATTTTATTCTCTCTAACTGCTTAGAAAAAGAATGATTACAACTCTCTCAACTCTCGATTACAATTTGGATTCCTGGTTACAAAAGAGAAGAGAATGATCTGGATTCTCCCCTTTGTTTAATTCTGGGTTCTTCACGGTAGCGATGAGATGCCTCCCTCGAATGCTTGCGTCGAGTTTGCTTCTCGTTGACGATCCGAATATCTATACTCACTGGAACAACTGTCTTGGCCGGTTGATAACTCTTGTCGAGTTTTGTGACTCAGAACAAGTAATAAACTCTAATGACAGAGTTGTTCGAACCGAAAATAATTCAGTTGATAAGCCAAATATCGATGGTTTAGAGATCCTCCGTTTGTTGATTTCCCAGACTGTGTAAGGAGTCAATCCTCCTTTTTCTGATTCTGGAAGATTTGATCGAAAAATCCCCCTCCGATTAATGAAAAGAAATCTCTCTTGATCTGATTATCAAAAATCCGATCTCCCCAATCCAAAAAAAGAGATCCTTTACTCTGTTGAGTTTGTTGCTATTTATAGGGGGATTAGGGGTGTAACTGCCCCCATCATCCGCGCCTAAATGGGGGTTTAGTTACCCCATTAGTCGGGTGTAACAACCCACTAAAGCCACTCCTCAAATCGTGGGTGAAGAACAGCTTCGAAGTTGTTACGATCACGTTTGAATGAGTCAGAACCTTGACCTGCGTTCTGGCGGTGATTGAGCTGCGTTTGGCAGCGACTGACGGGCTGCGTTGGGCAGTGATGGATGAGTTGCGTCGGCAGCGGTTGATAAGCTGCGTTGGGCAGCGGTTGATAAGCTGCGTTGGGCAGCGGTTGATAAGCTGCGTTGGGCAGCGGTTGATAAGCTGCGTTGGGCAGCGATTGATAAGCTGCGTTGGGCAGCGATGGAGCTGCGTTCGAGCTGTGCTTGGCAGCGATTGGAGCTGCGTTCTAGCTGTTGATTGTTGTAGTATTTAGATTTCTCTGTCTTTATATATGGATGACACCAAAGACCAGTAAAGAAGGTCTTATTCAGGCCATTTGTGACAATTGAGGCATCTCAATAACGCTCTATCAACTGCAGGTCATGATCTCCACTGAGTGTGTCGAATATCATTACACTGCTCATCAGCACCTCTAATGGTTGCTAATATAATATTAGTCATGTTGTTGTCGCAGCCATCAAGATCAATCATCTCACATAAGAAGCTGCATTCGTGTTTATAGCTGTTGAAGCGGCGTAGGTGATTGAATCGGTGTAGTGTCTTGATGATGGTACGCGGGGAGGACTTCCACGTCTTGGTTTGAAGAGATCGTCGATTTGTAATCCTTTCTGTCAGAGTATTGCTAAAGACTGTCGTTTTGTAATCTTTGCTTTAACTCTTTGACATGTGAAAATCTTCGAATTGTAGCCTTCTGGAAGTCGTCAGATTGTAACTTCCATCATCAGTGTTCGATGGAGAATTAGCTATCCGTTGTGATTTTTAGACAGCCTACAGAACCCCCTCCAAAGTTTTCGAAAGTTCGCGGTTGACTGGGACGAATTTTCGGAATACTTTGGATCCCAAAACTTTGCTGATTAAATGTATTCCATTGTAGACTGAGTAGAGCATCTCGGGGCTTTGGGCAAATTTTGTCGACATCCTCCTTCTTGTTTGATTCATCAACAATGGCTTTAGACTTCAGCTTGTATGAACAGACTTTCATCCCCAGCTTAGTCAGGAGGACAGCTTCGAAAGACTCTTCTCGATCAGCTTGTCTAGGGTAGAATGATCTCAGCAGTCTGATTATTGCTTGGAATATTAACCCCTTTGAAGGTGTTATTTATGTGAGTGCAGTCATCAGAACGCATGTCTAAATCATGCGTTCGACTGTTTGACCGTGAGGGTGCGTTTGGTAGTTGAAAAACCCCTCCTCCCCTTCATTTGAAAACGCGAGAATCACGTTTCAGGTGAGATTTTACCTAAAATCTCGTTTCGATTTGACAGCTACAGCTGTTTATAAATAGACCACTGAGGTCAAATCAAAAGGTCATTCGACTTTTCTCCTTTTTTACTCAGTTTCTTAACAGAACTCCTGTTCATCTTCTCCAGCGCTTCAACGGAGGAAAAGATCCGTTCCTAAATACTTCGCCCATCTTCGTCTTCTTCGCCACAATTGCCATGGGGCCTAAGAAGAAAATGGCGTCCAAATCGAAGATCGCCGAAGCTCAGGGTGCTTCTTCGGCTAGAGCCTCCGGGGATGATCAAGTTCTCACGCCTTCGTCGCTAGTTCCTTCAACCAATGGTAAGATTGACCCATTGGAAGTCGATTTGACAGATCTCTCATTTTCGACCCTTGATTGGCGATCCGTATTCCAATTAAACGTATGGCTAGCTCCATCGTTCCTGAAATTTCAACGTAGGTTCAGTCTTTAATGATCTGGACGCAGGTCTAAACCTTGTATTCTTGAGTTAGACTTCTTCTAACTGATTTTTCTATTTGCAGTATGCTACTCTAACGAGCCTCTTTCCTTCAACCATTACTTTGGTCATGCGGGAGGTGCAGAGAAAAATACGGTCTTCAGCTTTGCCTGCGAGTATCCAGTATTTCAAAACACCCACAAAGAACGATCAAAACTCATCACTGAAGCCTTCCCCGAGACTCTTAGGTCCCTGGTTACAAATGCTAAATTTGAGACCTCTGGACGTGAGATTTTACAGAAACCGTCCTTCCTTTTTGGAGATGCTGTTAGGATGGACCCTAAACGGGTGTCGGAGGGGAATTATAAATGGCTGAGGACTGTCAACAATCGTCGCCTTTTCCTTCCGAATTTGGAGCGGATGTGGCCGTTTTCTTACTATCAGTGCGCTTCAATCCCGCGGTCGATGAATTGGGATCTGGTCCAGGATCAAGGAGGTGTTGCCACAGGGCACATCACTCATCGGGGCACGCATCCGGCCGGATTCAACAATTTTATAGCTTTGAAGCCAGGTTTATTCCAGAAAGAACATCCTGTCGGAGAGCTTGGGTTCACTCCAGTGATGCAGATTGGTGGGCCCGGATGATAAATTTCGTCTTGGAGTAGCTAGAAGAACCTTTGAGAATTTCGGATTTAAGAGTTCCGATAACAGCCACTCGATATGGCATTTCTCCGAATTACAGCGGACTCTTTGCTATGCTGGAGTTCTACAACCCTCACACCGGCACCTTTTTCACTCCCGTTGGTGAACTGGGCTTTGCTCTCCACGAAATGTTTGAAATTTCTGGATTGTCCTTCGGAGAATTGCCTTATGAGGAGTTTGTTCCCGGAAGCAGGGAATTAGAGATCTTGAAAAAGGATGCTCCCGAAATCTACGACACTTACTGGGAATTGATGTGCCATTTCCAGATTTGTGCGCAAGTTACTGGGAAGAGAGCAAGTGGTGTAAAACAAGGACAGTGGTCGGAGTATCTTTTCCGCAATCTGTGGGACAAAGAAGCTG